GGGGGGGGGGGGGGGGGGATGAAGATGGAGGAGTAAACGTCAAAAAACGTTGGATTCATAAGTTATGAAGGAATAAGTCTGACACAGTGGTTTATAGGTACGTCTGGGGCTGAACATCTGCATAAGTTCTCGGGAGTTTATATTTAACAGTGACGAGGATAGGCCAAAAGATCATAAAACTTTCAAGGAGATTGAAATTACTGTCCCAGTGATGAGAATAATCAACTTGTTCCTTCAATTCGAGTCTAGAATAGTAGTATTTAAGACACAACTCTTTTCATTCTCACTCTCAATATTTAAATATTAATTAAGGATAATATTGATTAGTGTTACGTGGATAAATGTGAGCATTGCACGTGCACAGTGCTGATCAGTGTTGCATCAATGAAATTTTTTATACAAAAAGGGGGGAAAACCATGAAACATAAAGCACGAATACAATAATGACGATTTTTTCAAAATTTTTGGAATTAGCCAAAAATTAGCTGCCAAATTATAGAGTAATTTTTTAGGTTTAAACGGGGAATGGAGGTGGAATTTTTTTTTTTTTTATGCACTACGCTTGATACCAAATGTATTATTTTATATTATATTGAGGAAAGGAAATACTGTTATTGTAGTTATTGGAGAGGACTTTAGGGTCTTTGAAAGATGATTTAAATTAGGAAAATCAAATAGTGAATAATTGTTCTTAAATTAAATTAATTATTTTGAAGATTTTGATGGAAATTAAAAAAAATAATAATCATTATTTTTATTTTTATTCGGCCGGACGCACGCACTGATCTATCACCTCATGATTAGTGAGGAGCTTCCATTTCTTTATTCAAATTTCAAATGTATTAAATTTTATGCACTCATGCGTTTATGATTTTGAATCGTTGATCAATTCCCTTTCACTTCTTAAAGTGAACTAATCAATACCCGTAATTGTTGAAACATAAGGGAATTGTTATGAATCGACTTTCTAGAAATGTAAACCATTTTCTTGAATCATTCAGAGAATTCGGGAATTCTCTGCGCAACTGAATACTTTTCGAAATTTTTCCAGAATGAAAAAAAAAACCAACATTTTCCTAGTTCTGATTCTTTTCTAAAAAACGAAAAAGAATCAAATTTATCCCATTCGCGGAAAACGGAAAATGGAAAAAACTGAAATTAATGGGATTCATGGGAAGAAAGAAATGATCAATTTCGCGTGATAAACATGAGAAAATTGACAATTGTGACACAAAGAATAATTTGTGAGTTCGAAGAATTTAAAAATATCACGTGTTTTAAATAGAAACAACAACTTGAGGAAATTTTAATCTTCAATTTCTGGAAAAACGTACTCGTCTCATTGCAACTGCGTAAAATAAATTGCTTGAAGATGATAACAGTATTTCTACTTCCCCCTGTTACCAATTAATTTCACTCAAATAATATCAAAGAAACATAATCACACTCCTCACGTGTATTTAATGTTAGCAGTGAAAATATAATTTATAAAACAAGAGGCATAAGTTGTTCTCAGAGTCATGATAATTGAGAATTATTTTTTACATTGAAGGAAAATGATAGAATGGCTCTGGAAAGTGGAGAAAAAACATTTTTTCGCCAAAGATCTGTGAGGATTCTATTGTAATTGGACCACAGAGGCAACTCACGTGGTATTTGTAATTTTAAGAAACGATCAGAGATGAATTTTTTCTGTGAACGAAATTACGAGACATATCTCATTAAGTGAGAGAGCAGAGATGAGAAATATTTTTTTATCGACCGAGTGTTTACGATCCATGAAAATAATGAGGTCCTTGGCAAGTAATATATATCAGTAAATCGAGGTAGCGTTTTGTTGCTGTTTGCCCCTACTGAGTATGCAGTGAGAGGAACGATTATTGAAGAGCATTGACCACACGATGCATTTCATTAAGGTAAATTGATTCTTTCGGGATTTATTCTGTTGATTCGGAGTTTCTGCAGTTGAGTGGAATGAAAATAGCATTCAGTATGATGAAAATTTAATATCATACTTTATATAATTTGAGATGTCCGATTCTACGGAAATTCATGGAAGTTTCTAAACAGTTGGAGGAGAGTCTAGATTCATTCAAAATCTTCTGGAGGATTCAGCAATCATTTGGAAAACTCTCGAATTCGTCGAATATTGGGAAATTCGGCTAGAGTATTCCAGAAAATTCCAGCATTCTCCAAAAATGTCATTAGAATCAATTCGTAAGTTTTCTAAAAAAATTCAAGAAAATATGCAGATTTCCCAGGAAATTCGAGGAATTCCTAAGCTTTGTCACGGCAACCTCATATTTATAGGCGGTTATAATACTCCGAGAACTTCAAAATGATCGGATATTTCCCGATAACTTCGTTGCATACAGACGAACATGTCAAGTTTCGCAGCTAAAAAATTCCCGAGCGCTTGTGCGATGGATTTTTCCTGGGAAACTTGACGCATTCGTTTGTATGCCGGAAAATTTGAAGGAAATACTCCAATTCATTTCGAAGCTCAAGGAGTATTCAGCGAATTATTTTCCCCATCACGATTCCGACAAATAAAATTGCGGTATCCGGTGCCATCATGGTACAATCGACAATTTTTTGGTATTCTGCTTGACAACGGAAAAATTACTGAACGGGACATCGCAATACCGCAATTCTATTGGTCGCAAGGACGATGGGGAAAATAATCAAGAAAATTCTTGAGTTTCCTAAAAAAATTTCAATTTTTTGAGAATTTCAGAAATTTAGGAGGATTCTCGCGAGTTCTTGGAACTTTGAGAAACTTCTCGAGCTTTGTAAAGAATTCACGAACAATTTGTAAACAATTCAAGAACTTGCAAGGCAGGTAAAGACTGCAGGTTATCTTGATATAAATAATTTCAGGAAAAAAAATGATGAATTATTACCTTTTTAAAGTACTTGCTTGCGAGATTAATGAGAAATCTCACATAATTACTGAAAGATCATTCTCATCCTCGAACGATCCATGATAAACTGAATCAACTCATTCAAATATTCAACTGGAACTTTGAATTAAATTCCACTATTTGTTCACTTCTGAAAATCACCATCAAAATGAAATTTTCTAATCCTACGCTATTCCTTTCATACATCTGCAGAACTGACCTCGACACGACTATTTGGAGCAATTTTAGAGCTACTCATCTTACAGAGGCTTTAAAGTAAAAGATTAATATTAAATGAATGCGCACACATAGACATAATTTTTTATAACGGTGCTGAATAAAAAAAATAGAAAAATAGTCATAACAATATTGAAATCAATGATGTTCTCGAAACGCAATTAATCTCGCTGCTGTCAGGACTACATATTGAACCGTGAAACCTATTAAGCTGTTGAATTGTCATTTGAATTGTCTAAAATACTTTATCTATTAAATTTAACAATGTAATTTATTGAGCCCTATCACTTGCAAGGCAAATAGAACACCAGGTTTTCCATACCTAGCTCTCAAAATGTCTTGAATAAGTTCACCGAATAACCGAATACTTCAACAAAAATACGCCACGTATGCAAGTGATTGTCAAAGAAGAAAGTCTATTAACGCTTAGTGTATAATAAATCGAGTTGGATACCAAAATTCTACTTTAACTAAATAATAAATACAGTATAATCCTTCGTAATAAGAAAATTTTATCAAAATGAATTACTCGTTCAATCGCTTTAAAATTACCATGTATATTTTATAAGCAAGTAACGTTAATTAAACATTAATTGATTATTATAATAAAGATTCAATGGTATCGTCTAATAATTCTCTTCCCTTTCTCCTTCTAGAACATAAGACTATCAATTGTTCTTATTCTGAACCTCAAAATTAATAGTGAGTCCGAAAATTTAAGAGAAAAAAAAATTGAAAAAATATGTAAAATGGTTAGCATTCAAATCTGTGTATCTCCTACTGCAGCAATTTTATTATTATTATCATTGTCGTCGTGGTTATGCATCTGTAAATGGGGATTTCGTTATAAAATGCGAGACAGTGAGGTAAATCAACTCTCATATTGAACTTAAGGATATCCAATTAAATTTAACGATTTGGACACTTTAGATTTTTTAATTGAACTGCGTGAATAAAATAAAAGAACATTGATAGTTATCAATATTTAAATTTTTTTTGCATAAAAGTCCATCTTCCTATAGGGAACCCAAATTTGGTTTTAAGGCTTTATCTCTCATAGTTTCCGAGATAATCACGAAAAACGAAAGTGCCAAAAAAAATTAATTTAATTCATCTTGTATGAGGTGTAGGAAGTGGAAAAACGCGATTCTGAGCCGTCCATCCGCCTATGGGGAACCCAAATTTCCTCAGGAATCGAATGGAATAGGTTTTAAGGCTCTATCTCTCATAGTTTCCGAGATAATCGCGAAAAACGAAAGTGCCAAAAAAAATTAATTTAATTCATCTTGTATAGGGTGTAGGAAGTGGAAAAACGCAATTCTGAGCCGTCCATCTGCCTATACGGAACCCAAATTTCCTCAGGAATCGAATGGAATAGGTTTTAAGGCTCTATCTCTCATAGTTTCCGAGATAATCGCGAAAAACGAAAATGCCAAAAAAAATTAATTTAATTCATCTTGTATAGGGTGTAGGAAGTGGAAAAACGCAATTCTGAGCCGTCCATCTGCCTATACGGAACCCAAATTTCCTCAGGAATCGAATGGAATAGGTTTTAAGGCTCTATCTCTCATAGTTTCCGAGATAATCGCGAAAAACGAAAATGCCAAAAAAAATTAATTTAATTCATCTTGTATAGGGTGTAGGAAGTGGAAAAACGCAATTCTGAGCCGTCCATCTGCCTATACGGAACCCAAATTTCCTCAGGAATCGAATGGAATAGGTTTTAAGGCTCTATCTCTCATAGTTTCCGAGATAATCGCGAAAAACGAAAATGCCAAAAAAAATTAATTTAATTCATCTTGTATAGGGTGTAGGAAGTGGAAAAACGCAATTCTGAGCCGTCCATCTGCCTATACGGAACCCAAATTTCCTCAGGAATCGAATGGAATAGGTTTTAAGGCTCTATCTCTCATAGTTTCCGAGATAATCGCGAAAAACGAAAATGCCAAAAAAAATTAATTTAATTCATCTTGTATAGGGTGTAGGAAGTGGAAAAACGCAATTCTGAGCCGTCCATCTGCCTATACGGAACCCAAATTTCCTCAGGAATCGAATGGAATAGGTTTTAAGGCTCTATCTCTCATAGTTTCCGAGATAATCGCGAAAAACGAAAATGCCAAAAAAAATTAATTTAATTCATCTTGTATAGGGTGTAGGAAGTGGAAAAACGCAATTCTGAGCCGTCCATCTGCCTATACGGAACCCAAATTTCCTCAGGAATCGAATGGAATAGGTTTTAAGGCTCTATCTCTCATAGTTTCCGAGATAATCGCGAAAAACGAAAATGCCAAAAAAAATTAATTTAATTCATCTTGTATAGGGTGTAGGAAGTGGAAAAACGCAATTCTGAGCCGTCCATCTGCCTATACGGAACCCAAATTTCCTCAGGAATCGAATGGAATAGGTTTTAAGGCTCTATCTCTCATAGTTTCCGAGATAATCGCGAAAAACGAAAATGCCAAAAAAAATTAATTTAATTCATCTTGTATAGGGTGTAGGAAGTGGAAAAACGCAATTCTGAGCCGTCCATCTGCCTATACGGAACCCAAATTTCCTCAGGAATCGAATGGAATAGGTTTTAAGGCTCTATCTCTCATAGTTTCCGAGATAATCGCGAAAAACGAAAATGCCAAAAAAAATTAATTTAATTCATCTTGTATAGGGTGTAGGAAGTGGAAAAACGCAATTCTGAGCCGTCCATCTGCCTATACGGAACCCAAATTTCCTCAGGAATCGAATGGAATAGGTTTTAAGGCTCTATCTCTCATAGTTTCCGAGATAATCGCGAAAAACGAAAATGCCAAAAAAAATTAATTTAATTCATCTTGTATAGGGTGTAGGAAGTGGAAAAACGCAATTCTGAGCCGTCCATCTGCCTATACGGAACCCAAATTTCCTCAGGAATCGAATGGAATAGGTTTTAAGGCTCTATCTCTCATAGTTTCCGAGATAATCGCGAAAAACGAAAATGCCAAAAAAAATTAATTTAATTCATCTTGTATAGGGTGTAGGAAGTGGAAAAACGCAATTCTGAGCCGTCCATCTGCCTATACGGAACCCAAATTTCCTCAGGAATCGAATGGAATAGGTTTTAAGGCTCTATCTCTCATAGTTTCCGAGATAATCGCGAAAAACGAAAATGCCAAAAAAAATTAATTTAATTCATCTTGTATAGGGTGTAGGAAGTGGAAAAACGCAATTCTGAGCCGTCCATCTGCCTATACGGAACCCAAATTTCCTCAGGAATCGAATGGAATAGGTTTTAAGGCTCTATCTCTCATAGTTTCCGAGATAATCGCGAAAAACGAAAATGCAAAAAAAAATTAATTTAATTCATCTTGTATAGGGTGTAGGAAGTGGAAAAACGCAATTCTGAGCCGTCCATCTGCCTATACGGAACCCAAATTTCCTCAGGAATCGAATGGAATAGGTTTTAAGGCTCTATCTCTCATAGTTTCCGAGATAATCGCGAAAAACGAAAATGCAAAAAAAAATTAATTTAATTCATCTTGTATAGGGTGTAGGAAGTGGAAAAACGCAATTCTGAGCCGTCCATCTGCCTATACGGAACCCAAATTTCCTCAGGAATCGAATGGAATAGGTTTTAAGGCTCTATCTCTCATAGTTTCCGAGATAATCGCGAAAAACGAAAATGCAAAAAAAAATTAATTTAATTCATCTTGTATAGGGTGTAGGAAGTGGAAAAACGCAATTCTGAGCCGTCCATCTGCCTATACGGAACCCAAATTTCCTCAGGAATCGAATGGAATAGGTTTTAAGGCTCTATCTCTCATAGTTTCCGAGATAATCGCGAAAAACGAAAATGCAAAAAAAAATTAATTTAATTCATCTTGTATAGGGTGTAGGAAGTGGAAAAACGCAATTCTGAGCCGTCCATCTGCCTATACGGAACCCAAATTTCCTCAGGAATCGAATGGAATAGGTTTTAAGGCTCTATCTCTCATAGTTTCCGAGATAATCGCGAAAAACGAAAATGCCAAAAAAAATTAATTTAATTCATCTTGTATAGGGTGTAGGAAGTGGAAAAACGCAATTCTGAGCCGTCCATCTGCCTATACGGAACCCAAATTTCCTCAGGAATCGAATGGAATAGGTTTTAAGGCTCTATCTCTCATAGTTTCCGAGATAATCGCGAAAAACGAAATTGCCAAAAAAAATTAATTTAATTCATCTTGTATAGGGTGTAGGAAGTGGAAAAACGCGATTCTGAGCCGTCCATCCGCCTACAGGGAACCCAAATTTCCTCAGGAATCGAATGGAATAGGTTTTAAGGCCCTATCTCTCATAGTTTCCGAGATAATCGCGAAAAACGAAATGGCCAAAAAAAATTAATTTAATTCATCTTGTATAGGGTGTAGGAAGTGGAAAAACGCGATTCTGAGCCGTCCATCTGTCTATAGGGAACCCAAATTTCCTCAGGAGGAATTGAATGGAATAGGTTTTTAGGCTTTATCTCTCATAGTTTCCGAGATAATCGTGAAAAACGAAAGTTCCATAATTTAACAGAAAGTTATTTAATTTGTTAATTTAATTTATCTAATAACTTAACAGAAAGTTTTTTTTTTGCATGAAATCGATTTATGGTCAAATTTTTACTATGGATTTTGTCACAATTCAGAGAAAATGATTATCAGTTGTGAATTATTTAGTAAAAAAGGTTGTGATTCATAAATCTGTCTCAGTAAATAGACTTTTCAAGTATTCTCAGTGGAAAATGGAGAATTAAATGAAATCCTTCAAAGTTCAAATAATAAAATCGTTGGAAAATTTTAATAAAACCTCACATGTTTGAATAAGTGACTGTACGACTTGGATATCCTTTCAAAAAATTATAATCGATGTTGGATGCAATTCTTCATCATTATTAGTGCCTATCATATTATTACTTAAATATTATGGCTAAATTATTATTAATTTATCATATTCTTTATAATTTTCAGGTATTTCAGTCGCTAGTAATGTACTACATTGTCATCACAATTCTAAACATGATATTCCTGGGCCACTGCCGGATTAATCAGGATTGCATGAGTGCCTAACAATCCTCAAAAATGGGTAAAAAGAGGAAGGAAATGCTATGGTAATTGTTAATACCATTCAATCTTCCAATTTCTCCAGTCAATTGCGTGAATGATAAAATTTAAAGAAAATCATCGATAATTAGCATTGCTCAAAGTATATTTTGCAAAGAATTATTTTCTTTCAACATGCCATTCTCATAAATTAATAAGAGAAATTATTTAAACATTGAGAAATTTATTTTCATTGGCACAGACTAATCGATTTATGGTAAAATTCTGAAGATGGATTTTTTGATAATTTAGAGAAAATGATTTTCATTACTTTGAAAAGGGTAAAACCGTACAGAGGAAAATACATCATTATCTATCAATCAATCATTTTCACAACTGAATTATTTAGAAAAGGAGATCGTAATTTTGACACAAATTTGCCTCAGAAAGTAGACTTTTTAAATATTTTCAGATTTCAAAACGTTTCTCAACAATTAAAAATTACGAATTAAATTGATACCGTCAAAGTTTAAATGATAAAATCCCTGTAAAATTCGACTGAAGGACTGCGACGAAGGAATGATGACTGCATGATTAATTAATAATTCCAAAAATGGGTAAAATGGGGCAAAGTAATTGTCAATACCATTTGAACGAGCTATCGAATTTGATAATTCCCCCTTCCCCCACCAGACGCGCTAGCAGAGCTCCTCAGCGATACTTGGAAACTACAGAGACTCGAGGAGAGGCATCCGGCGAATATCTTAAATCCCTTATATTTCCGCGTCATTAACATAACAGCATGATGAACACACTGAGACTAGTAGCCCGAAGGAATTTCCACCAGCTCCGAAACTTCAACAAGGGGTGAGTCAGTGCTTTATCTCGTGGGAGACCTGGGGGACACACGATACTCAACATAACCTCTCACTATCTCCTCCCTTGCACCTGATTCTGATGATCAGTAGTTAATTACAACTGTTTCAGTGCTGTTTATGGCCAGACAGCAGAAACTGCAGTTTCTCCAGCTGAGAAACTCACTGCCCCTCCACCCGAGGGGACTGACAAGCCTGTCAGTGATAAAATCGAAAAACTCGTGAAAGATATCACCGCGCTCAATCTCATGGAGGTTGCTGAGCTCAGTGATATCCTCAAGAAGAGGCTGAACCTTCCTGATGCTCCTGTAATGCCTATGGGTGGAATGATGATGGCTAAGCCAGAGGTACTTATGGGGAGGGTTGGGTAAAATGGACACTTGATAATTCCCCCGTGGTACACCATACCACATTGGATCATACTGGGTCGATATAACAAAAAATCCAAAACTTTAATTTTAGCGATTACAAAGCTTCCATGCGGAAGTAAAAAATTCAAAGAGAATAAATCCCTCAAAAAAATGAATTAAAATCCTACTTTTCTATTTTTTGCTGCCTGAAGTCAGAGGTAAAACTCTAGATCATCAACCGATAGTTTTCATTAACCAATTAAAACCATAACAATTGAATTATTTCAATCTCAACGCTTTTAGGAAGAAGAAGCAGCCCCTCAACAGAAACAATCATCATTCACAGTGAAGCTGACAGGTTTCGATGAGAAACAAAAAGTTCCACTAATCAAGGAAATCAAGGTTCTCGTGCCTGGAATGAATCTCGTCCAGGTAACAATCAAAATACCTTTCACAAGTTGAAAAGCAATTGCTGAAGAATGGAGTCATTACTCATGATTATTACCCCCAAATTACAGGCCAAGAAATTCGTGGAGAGTGTTCCGACGATTGTTAAAGCTGACGTAGAGAAAGAGGAAGCTGACAAATTGAAAGAAGCGATAACCAGAGTCGGTGGAGTAATCGAGATATCGTAAAGGACCCAGTGAAAAATTGTTATAAAAAATGTTCCATTCTGTCTTTAGTTTTGTAAGGGAGAATAAGAAAATGTTTTCATCAATTTTCTACGTAATTTCTTCACCCCACTAATCCCCCTATCCCTTTCCATAAGAAACAAACTCCAATAATTAAATTAAGGAAATCAAGACTCGCGCTTGGAATCACATGAAAAAATTCAATAGAAAAACTTGGCGAATTCGCCAGAAATTTCTACTGGAATTCTCTAGAAATTCTATTGGGATTCTATTAAAATTCTAGGAAATTCTCGTTAAATTCTATTCGTTTTTTGCGTTGATTCTATGAAAAAGCTGATTCTACTGTAGAGAAAAACTATTCTGGTATCCAATTATAAGCTGCATCGAACATGAACATACAAATAACAACTTTACTTTATTTTACACAATTTAAACCTATAGAAATTACCAAGACGAGCTTTATTTATTTTAAATTTTTTGTCTAATCATCATGATGATTCTCAACTCTTCAACTTCTAAACTAAACCAATGGAATCCTGGTAACAACACGCGCCTTTTCTGAATTATAAAGCTAAAAATTCATCTTCCCCAATTTTTTCTGAAATTTCTTCACCCCACGAACCTCTATCCCCCCCACAAAAAAATAAACTCCAGTAATTAGCTTCTCCTTCTCCCTTTTCGCCTCAAGAGAAATACAAACGAGGTTATGTCTCAATTGGCGGTAAATCCGGCTCGTTAAAAGTCACGTGACACTTCAAATTCTTTTCTGTTTTCAAAACAAAACATTGAAGCTATTAAGGGTATTATGACGGGGTCCATAGCTGGAAAAAAAAGCAGAGAATTCAATGAAAATTGCTGAACCGATTATTCAATCCATTTGAAAGCCGTGTGCAAAATGTCAAAACCCCTACTTAAACAATAATAATGGGAATAATTTTTGAAGTTGCTACTTACACCCGCAGTTGAATGGGGCATCGGTAATTTTTGTGAATTTCCTACGTTATCGATAGATCAATAACGTAGGAAAAGCACTAAAATTACCGATGCCCCATTCAACCGCGTGTATAAGCAGCAACTTCAAAAATTATTCCTATTATTATTGTTTAAGTAGGGGTCTTGACATTTTGCACACGGCTTTCAAATGGATAAAATAATCTGTTCAGCAATTTTCATTGAATTCTCTACTTTTTTTTCCAGCAATGAACCCCGCCATAATACCCTTAAAACCCCCACCTTCATCGACGACAAGTCCACTCCTGTCTCAAATCAAGCTAACTTCATCTAATTGTCCCCAGACACTCCGAAAATTGTATAAATTAAGTTTTACCAGAGGACTGAGTGTCAACAAAAAAATCAGAAGGGAATATCCGGTTTGATTAAGTCAAACCGAGAGATAAGGCGAACGATAAGGGGTTAACCATAACGTCAAATGTCCAGTGATGACCAGTCTTCAGGTCTTTTATCCGTGACTCCGAACCCAAAGTGTAAACCCAGTGATTGTGACTCGAAAAAAGTGATCAGTTGGTTCACTCCTTATTACAATACCAAATGTTGTGGCACTCCCATTGATCCTGAGTTATTCAATATTTTCGAGGATTTTATTCAAAACAATGGATGCAAATATTGCAACTGTAGTAAGTTATTTTGATTCATTGTTAACTAAACTAATTGAATGAAAAGGCTACTTATTGTTTCAAACGAATAATTGTCGACAATTTATTGTTGTCGAGGGGACTGAGTCTCACTCGATTGAATTAAAGTAGCATGAATAAACTCCGGCTGAGTCGTTGAGTGTAACTACGAAAATTCAATTCGAAAAGCTAAAAAAAGTTATTCATCATTGATAATTTTTCCAATGAATTGTAACTTTAATGAGTGTCAAAAATTTATACATCAAATTCTTTCTTCAATTATTTTCTTAAACAGTAGTCTCTCGTTTGACTAGGGTGTTTCGACAAACACGCTATTTCGGCAGAAAAATAAATTATTCATTGCAAAAGTTTGACACTGACGATAATTTTCATAGTGGGCCTACAATTTTTTTACTGATTTTTCTTTTATTCTTCGAGATTTTTTTCAGATTTTAATCTTCTCTCCCCTCAGAAATTTAATTTGCTCGTAAGATTGTGTTATTTTTGCACCACTAGATTAATTGTTATCAGCAGGGACTAAATTAATTATTATCAACATTGGTCACTCCATACCAAAAAAATTTTGAAGTGTGGAATTCCACTTCGCAAAAAAATTGAAAGAAAAATAATTGTTTTAGGCCCGCACGGAGAGAAATTTTTGATAAAAATTATCCTACAGTTCTATAAAAGCGTATCATATGAGTCATCGTTACCTCATTTCTATCCCGAAATTTAGTAAAAAGTAATATATGATGATCAAATTTTATTCTACGTTAGAGAAATTTTATCCTGATAAAAATAAAAAATACCGTGCCGGTAGAGTAAAAATTACTGCACCGCTAGGGTAAAATTTATTATGCCTCAGGATAAAATTTCTCTAACGTAGAATAAAGTTTGATCATCATATATTAATTTTTACTAAATTTCGGGATAGAAATGAGGAAACGATGACTCACGATACACTTTTATAGAACGGTAGGATAATTTTTATCAAAAATATTTCTCCGTGCGGTTGCACCAAGCCTTGTTATCCAAATAAACCCCGGGTAAAATTTATCCTGGGGGTCATAATTTTTCAATATTTGACCCGAAGAATAAGTTTTATTTATCCTGTAGCCCCATTTGAATTAACACTGATTTAACCTTGGGATTAAATTTTATTTTTTGTTCCACGGATAAATTTGAGATACCCTCCCGGGTAAAATAATTCATCGAATACCCAAATTTACTTTTTTTCCTATCTGACGTTTTCGTTACCCGGAGCTGGTGCAACCGGGCTCTACAATTTTATCAAAACTGTATTTTTTTTCAATGACCGATTGAGTCAGATCTAGACAAAATTCTCGATGAATTTATCTCGCGAAGGGAGAGAAGAAGAGGCCTGTTTGCAATGTCACCTCCAAAGTCTGATATACTAATTAATAAACAAAATAAGTGAAAAGTATTGCAATGTTTTGAAATAATTAGGGGGAACCAGGAAAAATGAGACCATTGACCCTCGTGACCCTGGTGATCCTTCTAATTCCAGAAAAATTTACTCCACACCTCAATTTTTCACTTTCCGCCGCCCCGCATTATCAATAATACTAGACTGCCGATCAAGCACAAACTCAAGCAAATTATTTTTATTCACATCAACTTTCATTTAGAATTTATACAAAATTTTAATCTTCATAATTCAAGTTACGTTTATACTACTTTAAACCGACTTCCGTCATTAAGTGTTTATTACCGAGACGCGAGAAATTCATACGAAAACTTTCTGCGATGAAGAATATTCCTGGAAACTAACAAACACATAAACACAGTACCTCACAAATCCCCGGTAATAATCAAATCGGTCAGTAGGTGATTTCGTGTTCTTGAGGAAAGGACGAGAGTCTTTGCGGACTTGATATAATTTCTACTATATAACAATTCGAATTATATTTTCTAATATACAACAATACGAATTATTTTGCCTGGAGAATCGAGAAATAAAAAAAAACACTATCATCTCGCCGCGAGTGGAACCGCGGGAGGAAGAGGTCAGTCACCTCTTCCGTCTGTTCGAGGTCAATTACATGTGAAACAGAAGAAATATTTAGTTTCTCGATGGATCAATTGCGCAGTTGAAAATGCCTAAGCGAAAATTCTGTGAGGTATTACAGCTATTTTTCAATCGATTTTACTGACTAATAATTGATGTGCAAAAATCCTAGGCGTGTGATAAGATTGTCCGATGATATCCGTTATCAGGACGAACGGTATGATGTCATCACAACAGTTGTCATTATGAAGGTTGGATTATAATAAAAATCAAGGTCGCGAGAAAGTGATTGTTGAACAAAGGATGAGTGACGCAAGAAATTTGTCATTCTTTCACGATTAATCGTACAAAGTGGTGAAACACCGGGGAATCTTTTCCAGGTGATGCTCGACGAGGGGACTAGCGACGAGGGCGAAACGGGGATTGGGCTCAAAAGGGTCAGGCGGGTTAGTGACGTCATTGACAGTATTGGGGAGCCAGGCGAAGAGGTGCCCTCGGGGTACTGCACCCCAAGGACTACGGAGACTGATAATGAAGTGGTAAATTGTAGTGCATTGTTGGAAAATTCATCTTGAAGTTACGGTCTTAGAAAATTACTTATCGAATTTCAACTGAATAACTGAAATTTTCAACAGAAACTACAATTTTCGAGTCCAGAAATTGCAATTGTCGAGTCTAATGACAATGAAAACTACTGACAATTATAAAAATTCGGCGATTGGTGGAAACTATTGAACATTTCAGCGTATGTGATGTGATGAATTCAGTAACGAAGCGGTAAAACGGTTCAAGTCGATTTTGAGGATTGGCCAGTTTTCAATGAATACCTCGAAATCTAAGGGAGATAGCAAAATTTTTGTCACCACCTTTTTTATAGCTTTCAATTCGCTCTACAAAAAAGGTTATTGTGATAATTTCGTTATCCTCCTTGAATTCGGAGATATTTTTCGAAAACTCGGCTAAGGGTTGAATCGTCTTACCGCTACTGAATTTTCAGAATGAGTGGAAGGATTCAAGCTGTCGTTAAAATAATAATTCGACTAAGATGAAAAACTCAATTTTGTTCCAAGTAATCATAATTTTTAATTGAATTTCCAAGTAATTCAGAAATTTCAAAAAGGATTTTATCTCAAGTTGAATTGAAATCCATAGAATTGAAAATGCGAATGCAGCTGTTACTTTAATTGGGATTTTGAATGAATAATTTATCTCGATAAATAATGAACAAATAGTTAGTTATCGTTAATTGAAAATATCTGCATGATGCCTTCATAATGTAGAGACTTCTTCAATTTGTTGCAACTTTTTAGTTGTAATAATTTTTCGAAATAATTCAATAATATGCATCCAACATTTTCAAATCTCATGGAACAACCCAATAAATGCATCATTTTTAATATTAAAAACTCGACATCGGCAAAGTGAAATTCAGTTTTTTTTTACATTCTGGATATATTTCTTAAAGCATCAAAACGATACCTGATTCATTGAAGCTGTATCATTCAAATGGGAGATATTGACTCTTCAAAAAGATCCATTTGACTTTATTCCCATTTAGAATTATTCTTAATTTATGTTCTCTGAGGTATTTTTACAAAAATGAAATGATGAAATTAAATGAATGAACAAAAATTGGTGAATCAGTTTTTGGAATCACCGGAGCAGGATACACCAGAGTCGGTTGCTGTTTTTAAACCGGACTGGTTGACCCAGAAGAAGACTTCGGATCTTCTGGATGCTGGACTGTCATCGTTACACTCGTGCTCACAGGAGGCCGCAGATTTGTCACAGCTCAGGTAATGAATCAACAATTAATCGTTTTTACTTCGAGACGAATCGTCAATTTCGGCAAATGCAAACCAATATCAAGTTCGTCAATTCAACGAAAGCCTATGAGAAATTTGCTGAAATATCTCCGAATCTAAGGGAGATAGCGAAATTTTCGTTATAACTTTTTTTGTAGCTCTCAATGTGCTCTACAAAAAAGGTTCCAACAAAAATTTTGTTATCCGCCTTAGATTCCGAGATATTTATTGAAAACTCAAAATCGACTTGAACCGTTTCACCATTTCGCTATTGAATTTAAGTTAGCATCAATTTAATTCGTTCGGTCACTGGTGCTGGACAAATCTCATTCGTTCGAAACATGAACAGTTCACTCTGTGTGGAAAATAATGGTCTATTAATTATGGCCAGTGGCGCAAGTGGCGTCTCCGCAACGATGACAGTCCACAAAGACGCGAATGAATACAATATGAGCCACAAGTATCGAGGGAAATGCATCGTCTTCAATCACGACGTCTTCGACACTGGATTTCCCTTCAGGGAGGGTTCTGTACTCGACGCGAAGAGGATTGACAAAACGTTCAGTAATCTGGGGTTCGAGGTGGAAATCTTGGAGAATTTAGAACACTCCAAAGTTATTGAGAAAATTAACGAATGTGAGTCTAATTAAGAAATATTTCTTTAAGGAAATCCAAGTATCTTTTCTGCGTTAAAATAATTTGGAGAAACTAGTGAATTAGCGTTATTCAAGAGACATTTTACAGACAGATACTTAAATATCTTTGAATTTTTGGATGAGCTTTTTTCAACATCGCGTTTATCCTTAGTGAGTGCCGAAGATCATTCTGACAACGATTGCATTTGTATATTCATGCTGACCCATGGACTAGAGCCAGACCTGATTTTCGCTAAGGATGTGGCGTATAACGCGGAGAAATTGTGGAAGCCCTTCACTGCTGACAAATGTCCAACTCTGGCAGGAAAACCAAAGCTCTTCTTCTTTCAGGTAAAACAGATGAGCATAAATACCGGACAGAATTATGGAAAATATATCGATATTTTTGGTAAAACTAAGGCATGTTGAATTTTGCATTTAAATCTGAAGAGTTGCGGATGTACTCGCGTGGCTGAGATTATGTTGAACAGGGATAATTCAGAAACTCGTGCTTGTTAGTACTTGATTGTCGATCATTGTAACTCGCATAAGAATTTTTTTTTAACTATAACAAATTCTCATGCCGACGACGGTGGCCGAAGTGGTTAAATCGCTCGGCCGGATGGCGGGAACCGTGAGGCGCGGGTTCGAGTCCGGCTTGGGGCAGGCATTTTTTAATCCTTCGGAAACCGTCGAACGGTAGTCTAGATACCGAGAATCATCGGAGAAGTGGTAGAAAAACATTCCTCGATGATGCTCGGTCGATGGACGTCCGTGTCGACCAAGGTTTTCCATGATTTCCCTTGGTCACCAGGAGAAGTTTGTGCACGGCGTACAGCTCCTGGGGTACAATGCGACACGGTTGGAGAGGAAGTCGGCCCATGATAACCGCAAATTAGGGAACTTGTAAAAACCCGAGTAGAGTATACATGGCAAATAATAAAATAAAATAACAAATTCTCATTTCCATTGAACTTCTATTGAAAATTATTAATATTATTAGTGTTTTTTGCTATTAATTTGTGGACGATTCTATTGAAGAATTTCGAAAGTTCACTGTACGTTTTTTTAGAGAAAAATTCATTTGGATTTCATTCTTTCGTACAACTTTTACTATTGAGATATTTTCCATAGGAATTCCTCACCCTGGATTTTCTAAATTTTCTCCGCTCCATTTTTCTTCTCCTTTCATAAGAAAAAACAATTGGAAAAACAAAAAATTTGAGCCGGAGAATTTTATACAGAATATCTCAATAGAATAAGTTGCATAGAAAAATTAAATTCCATTGATTTTTTTTGTAGAATATTTTCCATTGAACATTTCTATTGAAAACAAAGTGCAATTAAGCTTTTTCAATTGAATCAGTTAAAAACTAAGGGAAAGTTTAACAGGAATTTCCAACTCTGGCATAGAAATTTCCAGCGAATTTGCTGGGTCTTTCCATAAAATTATTCGTAAAGAAATGGAAAACTTTACGTAAATGATAATTCGAGGCCAACAGCTGTCACATTCGAACACATATGTTTCGAAATATTCACCAGTGCTTCATGATGCCACGAAAAAATCCCCCACACTACAACTAAAATTTCAGTGTAATGCAACAGATTTTCAACTCTTTTGTTCGCATTCTCGTTTTATTATTGAATTTCACGTTTCCCGAGATAAAACAATTTGAATGAAAAAATTGAGATCTTGTAGTTTACCCAAATGTTCGAGATAAGCTAGACCTAAAAAATTTGTTGATTCAGCTTTGTTCTGAAGAACAAAACAACAAGCTGTTTTATCGTTACGAGCATCGAATTCCTAATGTTCCTGATTTTTAATTTTTCATATGAAATAATGAGGCATGCAGGGGAAAATTATTGGACGCAGGCGTTGAATTGAAGCATTCCCGATTAGCTCCATGCAGGACTGAAGTAGATTCCGCTACCACTTCTTATACATTGCCTACCCATGCTGATTTTCTTATTGCTCACAGCACAGTTCAAGGTAGGATGGGAAAAATCGGATTCACTCTTATTTTTAGTTAATCTTTGGCTCTAGTTATCAATCAATTTTTTCTAATGGTAGCATTTTTGAAATGCCTAAAAAACGAGTGATGTAATATTTGAATAGCCCCTTTAATTGTTCTGACTCAACTCATCAATTAATTTTTCTAGTTAAGACTTTTTTATTACGATTATAATTGTTCTAAAGTGATCAATCAATTTTTTTTAATGCTTGCGTTTTCGAAATGTCTAAAAAACGTGCGATTTAACATGTGAATCGCCCCTTTCATTGTTCTGACTCAACTCATCAATTAATTTTTCGAACTATGACTTTTTTTATTACGATTATGATTTTTTTAAAGTGATCTATCAATTTTTTTAATATTCGCATTTTCGAAATGTCTAAAAAATGTGTGACATAATATTTGAATAGCCCCTTCAATTGTTCTGACTCAATTCATCAATTAATTTTTATAATTATGACTTTTTTTACTACGATTATGATTTTTTTAAAGTGATCAATCAATTTTTTTTAATGCTTGCGTTTTCGAAATATTAAAAAAACGTGTGACGTAATATTCGAATAGCCTCTTTAATTATTCTGACTCAATTAATCAATTAATTTCCCGAATTATGATTTCTCATAGGCCACTACTCTTGGAGAAATCCCGATTGTGGCACCTGGTTCATCCAGTGTCTCTGTGATGCAATAGACGAGCATCACCAAACGACTCATTTACAAAAAATCCTCACGATTTGCTCAAGACGAATTGCCACCGATTTCGCGTCCTACAATGATCTCTACCCCACGGCTAACGATCAAAAGCAAGTGCCTTCAATCACCTCGATGCTCATAAGAGACATCTACTTCACTCCGAAGTAAACCACCCACGAGAATAATTCATTATCATTTTTTCGTTTTCATTTCCTACTTTACTTATGAATCAATTAATCATTTTTTATTTGTACAAATAATTTGTTCGATAGTAAATGAAATTTATTACTATTGGATTTTTTGGTAGAAAAATACTGAATTCACATCGTTGTTCGTTTTATGCGTTGAATTTATGAGAAAAGAGTTTCGTTCTGATTTAATTACTTGGAGATTTAATAAAGTTTACGACTGGCATTTATCGTTATTAAATCAATTACATGCAAATTTTTTGAGTCAATATGTATCTCTTACCTTATGCAGCTCTCCTCCTCCTCCTCCTCCTGGAGATCCCTCATCATGAATTATTTCTGCTGAAGTAATCCTGTGGACACTGGCACTTATTAAAACACTTTACACGACACTCAAATATTCATATTCTATGAATAATTCACCTCATGAAAAATTTTAGAGGTCGTAACAAAGGATAAAATCTACGCCAATAAATTTATTGTTTTTTAAAATCACTTTTCAATCGATTTCTCGGTTTAAATCATCACTCCTGCGAACTAATTAGTCTTTATTACACTATTTTTCGACACATCACACATGGCACTAATTTTAAACGAAGTGAATAATCGGGGGAACCCCCATGTCCACACAGAGAACTGCACTTCAATTTATGAAAAAAAGGAAAAAATTCACTTGGATTTATTAGAATTTTTGATTCTTCACTTGATTGTTAATTAAATGACCCTGGCAAACATAACCACTGTATTCCACATACAAAAGAAAATGTAAAAACTCATGAATCAATACAGATATCAGGCGACACTGAAGAACTCCACGACCCGAACGAAAGAGTTATTAATTGCTGTCATTTTTTTTCATAAGAAATGGTCGATTGTTCTAAATAATCTTCTTTCATAATCAACCGTGAAGAATACTCGAAAAAAATGCGCAATTTTCCCGGAAATCCATTAACAATTTAGAATTTCCCTCATGATGGCCCCAATTTAATTATTCCCCCTAGAAAATCCTGAAAAGTCGGTTAAACCCTTCCGAGGAACGCGAAAGGCAGTATCTACCGTGGATATACCGTGGATATATGGAAGATCGTGGACCCTCAACTTCTACTTCTCAAATTAAATCTAGACAATAAACTAGACACATAGAATCAATTGATAAGTGATATGTAGACAGTACACTAGTAAATAATTTTCTCAAAATATTAATTCGTTGAATACGAATATCAGTCTAGATTAATATCTGGCATCTGGAAGAGGCATCATAACAAAACTATTGTTGACATTCCCCCACCCCCCCAAATAAAAATCTTGAAGCCTTTAAAATAAACAAAAAAACTGCGAAAAATCCTCATTCACACAGAACGAAGCAGGACAAAACACAAACATTTCCCTCATTTCCCTACGAAATTCATCAGAACTTCTTTCAACTCCATGAAAAACATGCAATACTCGCCACAATGACCCCAGTCTCAGTAAAAATCCCTCTAAAAAGCCCCTAAAAACTGGCAAAATTCTCCCGAAAAGGTCGACGATCCACTTAACAACACCGAATTCTTTGTTATCATCCACCATCTTGAAGAGAAATCAAAACACTACTGTTGTTGTCGACTACTCCCCCCCCCCCCCCNATCAAAACACTACTGTTGTTGTCGACTCCCCCCCCCCCCCGCCAAAAAAAAGAAAATCTGAAAGCCTTCAAAATAAGGAAAAAAAAAAGCGAAAAATCCCCATTCATACAGAACGAGACAGGGCTGAGACAAAGGAAATGATCATTCCCCCAAAAAAACAAACATTTCCCTCATTTCCCTACGAAATTCATCAGAACTTCTTTCAACTCCATGAAAAACATGCAATACTCATCACAATAACCCCAATCCCAATAAAAATCCTCCTAAAAAGCTCCTAAACTCTTCCGAAAGATTCGACGATCCTCTCAACAACACCAAATCCTTTGTTATCATCCACCATCTTGAAGAGAAATCAAAACACTACTGTTGTTGTCGAGTATCCCCCCCCCCCAAAGAAAATCTTAAAGCCTTCAAAATAATAAAAAAAAATCGAAAAATCCCCATTCATACAGAACGGGACAGAACCGAGACAAAGGAAATGATGATTCTCCCAAAAACACAAACATTTCCCTCATTTCCCTACGAAATCCGTCAGAACTTTTTTCAATTCCATGAAAAACATGCAATACTCACCACAATGACCCCAATCCCACTAAATATACCCTTAAGAAGCCCCTAAAAACCGGCAAAACTCTCCCGAAAGATTCTACGATCCGCTCAACAACATCGAATGCTTTGTTGTGATCCGCCATCTTGAAACCTAAACTCTCCGCCAAAAATCCCCCCTTCCCCGCCGCCATAAAAATATTACTAATTAAACAATTGATCTCTAAAACCCTCGACCAAATTTTGTCAACAAATTGACTGCGATGACGACCTCCACCATCTCCACTTCCGTTCGAACCCGGCGGGAGATTCAAACCTCGAATCACGTGACCACCGATGGCTCGTAAATTGGCTGTGAAATGAGAACGAACCCAAGGAGCGCCACGACAGCCACGACTAACTCACCAATACCCAATCGACAGTCGTAGGCGGTCCAAGTGCGTGTCCTGCTGATGTCTACTGCCACGATGGCCGAAGATGCTGAGCCAAACGACAATTCCAGGATGAATGCCGACGAGAAAAGCCTGAACGAGGTTGGTAAAGCCCCAGAAACAATTACCCTCCCACTGAGAATAGCCAAACCCCCAGATTACGAGGTAGTGCTCGATGGTTAAGTGCCAGAACATTGGAGGTTGCAAGTGTGATTGACATTTTGACAGGTGAACAGTCACGTTCCAGTGCCAAATGAGAATGACGTTGGTATCGTTGGGTTTGAAGCGAGAGAAGTTATATCGAGGCTCGAGGATGCTGTGGAGAGAGCTGCTGATGGTGGTGGCATGACTTGGGACAGTCATCTGGGGTTCTTGACACAGTCGAAGAGTCCTGAGACTATTCTGCAGCTCATCCAGGTGATTTTCCGAATTTTTTAACTGTAAAAATGGAGCTTCTTGTATCATATCTCCTGGCCAAATGGTGAGATGGGGATCAATCAGGTGTCATTTTAAAGCCTGAAAAAATATCTGCAAAATGTAAAGAATGCCGATTTTCAATCTGTGGATCTTGAGTTATTCCTAACAGAGTTGAATGAGTTATTTGCTCATTTTAACTCTTCCTCGAAGGAACGATGGGTGTAAACTGAAGCTTAATTTCTACATTTTATCCCTTATTTCATGTAGGGAATAAAATCATTAGGATGAAGGGTCGATTCATCATTTTTTCGGTGTGAATATTTGAATTATAATTTTACTCGACCTTTCTAGAGTTATTTACACCTCGTGAGACAATAAAAATACTTACAACTTGCTTCTTAACTTGAACAACCAGTAATAAAAGGAAAAAAATATTCTATTATCGAATTCCTCATTTTAACTCTTCCCCTGGGAAACGATGAGTGTTAAAGTGAAGCTTGCTTAGTGTATTTGATCCCCTGTTTCGTCTAGGCTTGAAGTCATTAGGATGAAGGGATTAATTTATCCTTTTTTCGATGTGTTTTATTTTGACGAGAAATATTGCATCCTTACCTGGGGATGATCCATCTTTTTTAGTTGTTAAACAAGCTTCTGAATTAAAAATAAATCAATAAGCACTTGAATACTGCATATTCAAATCAAAATCTATGAAACAGTAATTCAAAATGACTGATAATGAACTTGAGCATTGAATAATCGACAATAATTCGTGATGTCGTTGACATAAATCATAATGCGTTGAATTCACATATGTTGACTTTGTGTGTCGAAATTGTCAAGTATTATTTAGCCCAGTAATTCCCTTAGAAGGGTAAAGCATCCCAAAAGTAGCTTAAATACACTAAGCAACATTTAATTTACCCTATAGTTTTTTGCATATATATAAAAAACGTTACGATCATGGTTTCCTGCCCCTTAGGACTTAGTGATCCACGAGGATGCACCTCAGAGCTTGGAGGGCGACCCCCAGGACCCTCCACCAGCTCAGCTGACGAACCTGCCACCCCTGACAGAAGCAGCAAAGCTGTCTCTCGTCACACATTCAGTTTCAGCGTACGCTGTTGCCCTCCCCAGAGCCCATGCACAGAGACTAGCTGCTCGGCTGGCCGCAGAAACCACGAGGTGGTTGAGTCACATATTCAGGTTCGTCGACTGCGCGTCGTCCTTCCACGAGGATCATCTTGAGGGGCTTGTCAGAGTTACGAGACTGGCGTTGCACAGGAAGTATCCGAGGTACATGGAGGATGGGTTTACAGCCCTGTCTGCTGCTCCACCTCTTATCTACAGCTCTGTGGCTGCACCGCTGGGAGTTGTGCAACATTTATGCAGACAGGTGAGGGGTATTTCTGAATTATGGATGCGTCCGGAAAAATGGCTTAGTTGACTTGAGTAAACTTTATTTGAATTGAATGAAGGGGTTTATTTGATTTATAGCACGTGGTAAAGGCTTATTCAAACTTTAACTTGATTTTTGTTTGTTGTTGAGTGTTATCTTATAAATTATGTATAAAACAGCCTGGGGTATAAATCTTTGAAGATTGTAGTTTACCAAGTCGGTAGCAAAGCGGTACAATGGTTCAAGTTGAACTAGCTCTCAGTTTTTGAGGAATATCTTCGAATCTAAGGGAGATAGAAAAAATTTCGTAGTGACCTTTTTCGTAGATCTTAATTTGTTCTACAAAAAAAGTTATGACAAAAATTTTGCTATCCGTCGTAGATTCTGAGATATTCATTGAAAACTTACCAATAGCCAAAATCGACTTATCAGTAGTATATATAACTTAACTTTTGTAGATTAAAATCTGAAATAAATTCTAAATGGAAGTTAATATGAATCAAAATCTTTTGGCTGAGTCTGTGCTCAATTGGCAGTCTAATATTATTGATAACAATTAATTTAGACGTACAAAAAAAATATCGACTCTTATGAGCAAATTTTTTCGAGATTAGCGAGAAAATTAAAATGTAGAAAAAAATCTTGAAAAATCGGAAAAAAATCTAAATTCTATGTTTAATATGAAAACTAGTGTCAATATAAAAATTTTGTTATAAATACTTTATGTTTCTGGACACCCTGAATGCACAGGGTTGCTCTAGTCAAACGAGCGATTATCATTTAAGAAAATTTGATGGATGAATTTTTCACACTTGTCACAGTTAGAATTCCTATGAGCCATTTTAAACTTGTTTATCCTCGTTGCACTCAACGACTCACGTCGAGCTCGGATATACTACTTCAAACCGTTTTATCGCTTCGCAACTGAATTATTCAGCGAATTCTCCACGAAAAATAAATCTTTCATTCATAAAATTTTCAGAATATTCAAAATCAAGGATCACAGTCAGCCCTTCAAATTCTAAACAACAAAATCATAGCAAAATGTTGGTCTACATACAAAGTGTTCAACCAAAAATTCTAAAGTACTTGAATATCCTTAAAATCCAGGACATTCCCCTCTCCACGAACCGAGCCTTCCCAATAATTTCTACTTGACCTCTCCTCCAGTGAGCCACTGAGCCACTGGTCCCAAACCCCCGACCAAAAATCCCCATTCAACAGTCACTGAACCCCAGTAATTTTCAGCTGTCGCTGCCTCTCCACTGCGTCCGCCCGATCCCCCAAACCACGATGTTCGGTTCTCGCCAAGTGATGGACGTGGCGGCCCTCGAAAGAAGGCTCTCCGAGGACAGTCAATCGAGCAACGTAACCCCCCTCCTGGTCCTGGGTGAAGTGGGTTCAGCGATAACAGGCCACTGCGACAACGTGACCCGTCTCCGCGAGATCTGCGACAAATACAACGTGTGGTTGCACCTCCGAGGGCACTCCCTGGCTGCCCTGGCCTTTAACACTTCCCCCAAAGACCTCCCCTCGAAGCTCGCCGACAGTATAACCCTCCCCCTGGGAGTGTGGCTGGGAATTCCCTCGCTCCCAGTGGTCACCCTCTACAGACTAACCGACACCAAAGGCGGAAAGCCCACCTCCCGCGACACAACCCTCTCCTTAGTATCAGGTCTGATGGTGGAGTCCCTCTCCAGAAGACTCCCAACTCTGCCCCTCTGGGCAGCCCTCCAAGTCCTGGGACGCGAGGGCATCCAGAACCGCTTCAAGAAGTGCTTCCAGGTCATCGAGGACCTCTACAACAGAATTAAAAAATTGGAGAACATTAAATTCCTGAGTCAAATACCTGGTGGAGCTGAGGGAAGCCAGGAGAATGGAAGATGGACGATCAACGACTTGACGACTAATCCTGTGAACAGTCCACAATTGTTCGAGGTGATCTCGAGTGCCCTGGTGTTCCAGTACGTCCCCACGACACTTCCCACCCCCCTGGAGGGAGAATACCATTCACTGCCAGAGAGAATCCCCCCTTACTACGACAAACTGAACTCGTGGCTCGGTCAGATCCTCCAGCGAGACATCGAGAACGTGCCAATAGAGCTCTGTGAGATCGAGCAGTATGGAGTGGCCATCAGGATATGTTGTCTGGAGAACATTGGGCCTGTCCCAAGCTCAGAGGACATGGACAACGTTATTGCGTGTCTCGAGCAGCAGATCGAGATACTGAATGCCACTGTTGAGCATAAGGAGACTTTTATGAGACTCGTTGCGCAGAATGATTCACTGCACCTTGTGGAGATGCCAGGGTGGGCTGGTCTGGGGGGAGTTCGTTATGCCCCTCCCACGTGGATTCAGATAATGACTGAGCAGACTAAGGAGGAGTTGAACAGGTTGAATATGCAGCTGGTGGAGGCACTGAGGAGCACTGATGCTGCATTCTCGTTGGGAGAGGGAGCTGATGGTCTGGCTTGCGTCAGATTTGGAATGGTTACGCAGGACACTGATGTCGCTGAACTGCTTTCCCTCGTCCTTCAGGTTGGCCAGGAAGTCGAGGCCAGCTCGAAGCTGCTTGACACTATGTCAGAGGTCGTTAAAAGGGGGATTGAGGCGGCACAAACTGATCTGGAGAGGGAGAATGCGGAGAAACTCTGGCAGGAGGGCATTCTGAGGCATGTGCCAGTCGTTGGGACCTTCGTCAACTGGTGGAGTCCACCTTCTAAGGAAGCTGGGGTTCGTGGTAGGAGTCTCAATCTTCAGGCGGGGGTCGTTGAATCCACTGAGAATATCTACAAGTACCACATGCAACTGCAGCCAAATTCAACGAGTAATAATTCAGGCGCTAGAACACCACCACAGCCACTTATTCAGACACCCGTGGGGGCTGGCAGCCAAAGCCACAGCAGGTCCTCGAGCCACTCGAGTCTCCAGAGCGGTAAGGGAGTGCCACTTGTTAATAATTCAAATTTACCACAGACTGTTGTCAAAGAGGAAGTGCCCGAGGTATCCTCGTAGTTGGGTTCTAACTAATTTTGGGGGTTCAAGTTTTTTTTTCTTAGAGGACGGCTTGAGGTCTTTTACCAGATTAACTTGGGTGAAATTACTTAGGTTGGAAAAGGCTTTTTCTTTAGAACTTTCACGATCTGGGGAATTATCAACGATTGGGGGTTGCATGCAACCGATATTTTTTGATGAATTATGCAAGATCGATGAGTTTCTAATTTGTGAACTTTTTCATTTTTTTATGATTTTCACAGTTAAAGAAAACGTTAGGAATTTTATACCTCCAATTTTCGTAATTCTTCATTTTATTCGATGGGAAAAATCGTGCAACAACCCAGTTGGTATGACTAATTAAATTTCCATTTGATATGACAATAGGAATGCTTGAAAATGATGAAAATTCAAGCAAGTGTGGTCGTTATCCAGCGATTTATTCCAAATTCGATCCATTGGATATTCAATAGATTTTTAACATGAAATGATAAATCCGTGAGGTATTTTTAGTTCAATTCCAATCCATTGGATCTAAAAAGTGGATGCAAAATACTAAATATTTTTTAATTTCAGCGAATAATGAAAAATTAGTAAAAGTCATGGCGTTGAAAACGTCTGCTTCTTCATTTCTCGCTATTAAAAAAAAAATAAAAACACGTATCTAATCTTTTCACCATTCAATTATTATATCCAATAAACAAAATTACGCAATCAACTAATTATTGAAGTCATCTTATCGAAGTTCATGTTCTTCGTGTCGCAGAATTGTTTTCGCAAAAGTTATTTCGTCAATATTTTATGGCAAAAGATCTCTCGACGTAGAGCCTCTTCTTCTCCTGAATTCAACTTTGTAAATTTTACCCGTTTACAATTTCATCAAGAAAAATTCCGCATAGAAAGCTTATTAATTATCACATGGCTTAATGTACTTAGAACCATAACGCTCGATTCCAATTCCATTCTTTTAATTTTTCCACTAATTATCTGAAGTTATTTAAGTCTCTTTGAATGCATTGTTTCATGCGCATAATTATGTTCAACGAATGAATAACAAATCAGAGTTTTATTTTATTTAATAGATAGACTCGATTGAAAAGAAGGGGATAATCCTCATGAATTGTCAGGATTTTAATATTTTCTTTATGTTGTATTATCATTTTTCCTTTCGTAATTTAATAATTTTTCAATGTGCAATTTATTCCTAGTGCATAGCCACAATAATAACTAGACATTAATTCTCAAGCACAATAATTAAACAGTTCAAATCCATAACTAACGAGAAAAATCGTGTGATATGAGCATGAATAACTGAATTCATCACCAAAGATCTGGCCTCGTGTTAAATCAGTCAATTTAGATGATTCCGATTATTTGCACATTTATTTCTTTCGCCGAGGGTTCAAAGGAATATAATGAAGGCGATTGATTCGTAATTGAGGATAATTATTCGTTTTCTAGTGAATTAACGAGAATTTAAGCGATAATAAAGTTACACTTGTTGATACCCAGGTGTATGCGAAATAAACTAAGTTCATATGTATATTTATGTACCAAAACCTTGTAATAAAGTATTGCTACAGAAGGAACAATAATAATAATTAAATAATCAATAACACACAGTTTCGATTTATTCATCTCTCTTTATTTCTTCACTCACTTTTTCGTTTTTATTTCTCATTAAATTCTTGCGTTACACTATTTGTATGACAATAGGAGCATTTTAAACAGTATGAAATTCTCAATTAAATAAATATAAAAAAAGGGGAAAAAAACGAGCCAAATATTCAACCTCGACAGAATACTGTTATTGTTCCCGTTTTGCGTATTTCATTACGGCAGTCTTCAGGATGATATTTTTCTCGTATTATTAATGGTTTTTTTCTCTCTTTTATCTGCAATTAATGCACTATTTCTTATTATTAGTTTAGAAGTTAATCTGTCAAACGTAAATTGCTTTTATTCTTTTAATTATTTACCGGCTTCTCTTAACAATTACACAAAGAGTCGCACGCACTTTAACTTGACACTAAATACAGATTTTTCTTATTCTCTTTTTTCCTTCATCGTTAATCAATTAATTAATAGGAGTAAAAGTTACGAATGGCGTAGTGTAAATGTAACGGCAAAGAAATTTTGCGAACAAAAAACTGTTTTTCATTGAGCCACTTTATCAATTACGGATTACGGATTGGCAATTATTTAAACTCCGTTCCATAATTAAAAATCTTTAGTTTACACTCCATAAATTACAAATCGACAGAATACTTCGATGGGGTAAATTAATGATACAGGGATTAATGATAATGAATGATCAATCATGGAAATGAAGGGAATTAAATAAATGCTCGTGGAATGGCACTGTCAGTCCTTCATCACGAGACTAAACCGTGATTCCGAGGACTCGTCACTAATTAGTTAATTACATCCTGCCTGAGAGTATTAACAAGCCTCTCAGACCCATTAACGACTCTCTCATATTTTTTTTTACGTGAAAGAACACTGAATGATTAAAATTATCACACATTACACTTCTAAGATAATCTAACACTTTTGTCTCTACGTATTTACAAAGGGGTAACGCCACTGAATTATTTGTTCCTTTGTGGGGGGAAAAAAACATCGTCAGTTGACATCTCGAACTTTTTTTTCTCAAATTACCTCAACATATTCTCTCTATCTTTGGATCTCGCGTCAAACCATTTATATTCATATATATGTATATATTAAAAAGGCTTGTATTCTTTAACGTTATATTCATATTCATCTTTCCTCTTGTGCTCTTGGTATTTTCACATTTAATTGCCACGAAATTTTTCGTAAGTGAACAAACCGAAAAATCATGGGTCATTGTGGTATCAATTTGTACTTACATAAATGCGATCACCTGAGCTGTGGCAGTTTTTTTTTATAAATCGATGATAGGCTTTAATTATCGTTTTTTTTTCTTGTTATTCAATCACGTGTGAAAAAATTGGGACTTCATTCAAGAATTATATTGGAATTCTATTAAATAATTCTGTTAGTTGTTTCGCCAATTAGATTGGAATTTATGCAACATATCGCGTCATTTTTTAAAGAATATTCGATGGCAAAAAGTCCATGGATGTTCATTCTTCGTAATGAAATCCAAGAAATTTATGCCCAAGAAATCAACATTAATAAACATTTTTCTAAAAAAAACATCCATTCAAAAATGCACGACAAAGTTGTATAATTTGTAATAGAATATGCGAAAAAAATAGAATTCCCATAGAACTCCAATAGAATTTCTCTGAGAAAGTGCTAGTTTTATCTATTAAATTTTTTCATACGTGAATTATTCAATAATCCATGGAAACTCTCCGCGCTGCCGTGTGAATAAGGGCATATCCGGTCTCAGATCGTTGACATTCAATAAATACATGAAATCGGTAACACCGTTATACCGATTAAATTCGTAATAATAGGTATACATTACTTAGGCGATGAATTAATTTGTGTGCATTATTTCCTTGTTCCATATTTTCGAAGACATGAGAAAAATAATCATAAGAAAAAACCGTTTTTCACTACAAATTGCGCGTTGCGCGTAAAATGTAAAATATATGTATATATTATATAAAAAAGTGTCTTTTGGTATCCCTCTCACATTTAAATCGTAATGAAAAAACTTGGGGTGTACGATGACACCAATATCGTTTTGTACATAGACTACAAATTTGATTCATCCTCCCCAGGATAAATTTCCTTTCTTTTCCCTTTTTTCGAGTAAAAAAACTTGTTTTATACACATTAAATGTTTTTTTCGTTTTTTGTACATTTCGATGTGAAAAAAAACCATTGAATATATAAAAAAGAAAAGATTTTACTGAGCTCCAGTTGACCCTGCACGTGAGATTCTGTGCGAAAATTTAATAATCGAATTGGAAATTCACTTGTTTTTGTTTGGTTTTCTAAATTTATTTTCCATGTGCAATGGGTTTTAGCCCCCTCATTTATCTTCGTCTTAGTCTCGTTATTAGGTCTTGATTATCCTCCACATTACTCGCTTTGGTTTAACTCTTTCATCGTAATCTATGAGTTATCAGTTACCTGATGACTGGATTGAGTTCCACTTCTCTTACAATTCCGTAACAGCGTAGAGATTGGGATCACTGCCCTGCACCTGGCTGAGCGTAGGTATTGCAGATGCTTTCTCCTGTCTCGATCTTGCACGATTGTACGTCCCATACATATTCGGTACAACGTTGTTCTGAGCTGTTCCGTTGAACTGATTGCACGAGAAGTTACGGTCCAGAGTTCTCACTTGGTCCTGCATCTGATCCTGAATTCTTATGTTTGGCGCTTTGTTGCGAACGAGGGAGCGAAATTGATTCATGTTCGATTGAGATCGCGATTCGAACTCCCAGGTTGGCTGGCTGTGTTGATTCGTCGGGTTTGGGGGCAATGGACGATTCTGATTCCACGCTGGTGTTGGTCCTCTTTTTAAATTAGCAAGATTCTTTGGATCAAGGGTTTGAGTTTTGCGGGAGTCTTGAAATGTCGCGAGGTGAGCGGGCTCGTGAGAATTGTGAGACATGGTGCCTGTGAAGGATGCAACGCTGGGGGTCCAGGGTGGCTCCCTTCCTGGAGGGCAGAGAGAAGAAGACAATGTGATGAAACTAATTAAGGATTTTTTTAAAGGGGATGAAGCAATTTTTGATGATCTTTTTTTATGAATCTTACTTTACTGATGTCTTGTTTTGAATTTTTTCGTGGATCATCACTGCAAATTTGGAGGTTTTCAACCATCAATTTGTCAATAGAATTTTGTGGGAGAGATTCGAAAATATTTAGGAATAATCGACATCATGCGAATTCAACTTTGCAATGAGTTGAGAAATTTTTTACCATTTTTGCAAGTTAAAACAAATTTTTTCAAACTTTTTCGTCTTATGAATGAATAATGGAGATTGTTCAGACTTTCTGGAGGTGAACGAATTTTTTACGGTTCTGAGATGACTTTCAGGGTGAAAATTCGATTTTTTATAAATTATTTGTGAAAAAAGTCCTCGTCAAAAAGTAGACTATCTAATTTTCTAGGTTTCCTAACAGTTTAGCATGGAGAACTAAATTCGATCCTTCGAAGTTTAAAGAATAGAATCGTTGCAAAATGTTCGATAATCTAGGATAATATGTTTTAATAAAAAAAAATTACCAAAGTACCTGGATATCCCTAGATTGATTTAGGGGTAAGTGGGGTAAAACAGACACTTTTGAGTTTTTTGAGATGTTAATGACATGTTGAATTGTTAATGAAATGGGATTTTTTTAATGAAAGGTAAACTTTTTTTCTATTTGTGTTGAACGACTGAGCTCAATTGAAAAGTTGATTTCTGAGTTATGAACATTTAAAAAAATGTTAAAAGTGTCTATTTTGCCCCACCCTCCATTATCCAGGTCCATTCCTATAAGATTTTCATAAAAATATTTTATTTGAAAATCTTTCATCTCGTTTTTCATAAAAGATTTTCATAAACAACGTTTTTCGTCAGTTCCCAGTGAACTCGACTTCTAGCTGCATGATTTCTCATATAAATTAAAGGGGTTTATTATTGCGTTGCTCACCAGGCTCCGAGGGGGCGTGCCCTCAGTAAAAATCACTTGACTCAAGTGTTTTACACTGCTTGCTCAGAGTTGCGTACTGACCAGGTTGATCTCCGTGTCCAGAACGGTGTTCATTTCGTCCACTCGCCGATTGCTGATTATGCTGAGACGACTTGTGATCTCCGAGTCCACTACTCCCGTTAACACCCCCACCTCTGTAAACCGCAATGCCAGAAACGTTACAACATTCTGCTTCTTCCCCAGTTGATAATTGTAAATAGACATGGAAGTGGTGAAACGTAACAGAAAAGGACAGAACCATCACATCTCGTCAAATATATCATAATTCTTTCCATAACAATTGATCGGAAAAAATACTAAAAGACTTTTTTTGTTAGTAAAAAAATTTCCTCAATTTCAAAAAGGGTTTGACTTTCTCTTTCTCTTTGTGGAGAATTTTCTCAGTCACAAAAAATATCTTATGACATTTTAGCCTAAAATCACTCGGATCTGAGATAAACAGTCATCAAAAATTCCAAAATTCTCAAAATGTGACCAGTTAATTTTTCACGTGTCATTACAAATCTATTAATCTCAATGACAAATGATTCAATGGGAAATGTAAAAAAACTTTTTCGTGGAAAATGTCATCAGCTACACAAAACGTTGAAAATTATTACATTTCACCACTTAACCAGAAAATATCAAACCATCATCACCAATATCATAAAAATTAGTTCACTCTATCCACTAAAAGCACATTCCTATTCCTAACAGTGATCTGGAGCCAGCTGCATTCAATAGAAATCACCTAAATCCTCAAAAACAATCTAACGATAACATGAATCCTGAAGTTGACAATATCGAGAAAAAACGATCCACTAAACTCTATAGCGACAGGCAGCGGCTAATCGACAATCAAAAGAACTCGAACGAAATCCAAATAAAATATCTGAAGCTCAAATCACCACGAAATATTCAGTAACTTCGAAACAATAATTAGACCAATTGAATCGCCGAAAATGAATCAATTCAATAGTTAAGTGGGACAGGACAACAATCTTTCAGTTGATTTTTGCGAAATATGTGTGAATCAAAAAGAGATAACGACATTTCTGTGAAAATCGTTGCGAATTTTTATCACAAAAAAATCATTCGATAAATTATGCTCCATTCCTTAAATTTTTGTGTTAGATCCAAAGATTGAGGTGAACATGAGGTGAAATCGTTCACAAAATCTTTGATTTATTTAAAAAATCCAACAAAATTTAATTTTTTATTTCAAATGTAGAATGTTTTGAATGGAATGCTGGACCAATTAGCAATACAGGACAGAAGTTGATCTGAAAATCATATTTTCATTGAATATTTCCCAAATTAGCTGAATTAGTGATTAAAAAAATCAATTTTTTAAATTGAAATTTCAGGACAAATTTTTCTAGTGTTTTTCTCTTGGATTCAAAGATATTTCTGGAAAACTCAACAAGGACCCAAGCCCTCGTTATCCTTCTCCACTCGACTGCTGAAAATAACTCGATAATTGAATTAATAAAATAAAATATAAAACATGCACAAACTTTAACATGCTCTCGTGCAGCTGGCGTGCTCGAGCTGTCGCAGTAGCGTAGGATGGCGGGGGCGGCGTTAGCAGAAGAGGCTGCTTAATTGTATTATTCGTGCCATGAGCATTCTGATTAAGAGGAGGGGCTGTAGGCGGGTACGACCCTTGGCCACGAAGTGTTCTTGCTGCAATCGCCTGGGATGCTGCCGATGGTGGTAGAAATGGATCCTGCTCGTCGACCTGATGATAATCCCTTCTGAAACAATTGGAAGAAATTGACGCATTTTCATCAACCAAAACTACTCGGCAACTTCAATTGAAGCGCAATTGTCATTCTTAGTGACTGTTTATACTAAAATCACTGGAGCAGGTGCATGAAGTGTTTATTCAACAATGGATTCAATTCCTCATTTTTTGCAAACAGAAAAGACTTGAATGGATTGATTGCTGACGTTAATACACTGTTTACAATTTTTGTCTAAATTTTTCCCTAAAAAAGGGAGTTTTTACAATTTTATAGCTGTGGATTCACCTTTTTAACGGTTGGTTTCAGAACAAAATGTCAATAAACATTTTGTGTCGAGACTTCGGCATTCCACCAAATATTGATCTCGACATCTGATTAATTATCGAATAGTCTCAATAATCCATGAATTCAGGGGAAGATTTTGAACTATTCTTTGTAAACAATTTACTTTTGCACCTGAAGACTCTAGCCAAGTTTCTGAATCTTCCCTAATTCGACCAACACTAGTGGAAAAACCTAAGGCAGAGGCGTAACACGCCTGATCAGAATTTCGGATTGGACTTGATCAGTTTCTGATCAAGACCTGAACAGAATTTCCACTCGGGGAATATCTTTCATAAAACCTTGTCCACCCGATTAAATATTGATAACATCAATATACAAAAATATAATAAAACAAATAAAATCATCTAAGAAAATTCCTAATAAAATAACCACTAAAATAAATAATCTCATCTCACCGTTTTCTGATGTAAATCCATGTATGCGAGTCCATCCAGACAAGAACCGTGAAGAACAATCCAGCAGCAAGACTAGCCAACAGCATAAAAGTGAGCCCATACAATCCCAAATGACAAAGGCTCTTAGCAGCATGAACATAATGCTTATGAAGTGGTTTGCAATCAAGCAGCGTAGTCAATCCCGACATGAGTTTATCCACAACATTGACCTCACTCTTGAGACTATTGAGTTTAGGTGCAAGATTAGCCTTCTGATCCTTGAACAAATCCAGAGCAATGCTCTGCACAATATTGAGACTAGCCCTCATATTGCCAGCAGCAAGCTGTCCCTCCCTGAGTCTCTGGGTGAATGGATTATTTCGCGTGCTCTCGCAGTGTGTGTAATAATTGAGTACCTCAGCAGCAAGTGTAGACGGCACTGTTCTAGTTAAATAACCGTCTGGCGAAATGCATAAATCACCGAGTGCAACTGAGGTCGCAAGATAGAGTGATGCCATTAACCACGAGACAATAACCGCAAACAGGCCAAAAACCGAGAATGTTATGAGTGCGCATCTTGAGTGTCGCGCGACTCCGACCAGCAGAACCACGCAGAGTACGAGAAGTGTGCTGAGTACAGCCATTGTAATAGGCCACCTGAATAATTCAATCTTCTCACCCAGATTGATCTCCCTCGTTATACTTATACCACTCAGTGGTTTTCTTATCTCATAAGTTCGATTAATAGCAATAGTCGTATTCTGCGCCATGTATCCCCAGACCTTGAGTAAATAACTGACAGCTGTTTTGTTGCTGACTGGTGCATCAAAATCATCCCTCAGTGATGTTAATCCTGGATCGATTTTCTTCTTGAGAATAGTCTCAATTGTGTCGGTCTGATTTTTCACCGATATCACACTGGCGTCAACCTGCTTGGCAGCGTCGAGGAGGTGCACCACTCCATTGTGCACATCGTCATTGCCGTAGAGGCCGACTGCCACTGCACCGGAGCAGAGAATAGCGAGAATAGCTAGGGAACATTTTAGCAGAGTTATGGATCTTCGTGGACGAGGCTTTCGGTCGCAGCATCGTGTCACTAGATACACCAGCAGCACCAGGAGGGTTAGGATCAGCCAGGCGGCGGGGAGACTTCCTAGGATTCCAAGGCTCTGGAATTTTGAGATATTATCGTGCGAGTGTTGGAGATTGTTTTTAAAATTTGTGCCGTTCATTTTTGGGTTATCAAGTTATTCGGGATGGGGATCGTGGGATAGTTGGAAAGCAGTAAACCAGAGTGAAAATATGATTTTACATATGACTAGGGGACTATGTCCCTCGCTCGCTCCGCTCGCCAACCCCCATATGACCCACATGATCTTTAATCTAACCCTCGTGACCCTTATTCCGTCCCTTGTGACTCTTATTTGGACCCTCAGAACCCTTATTCTGTCCCTCGTAATCCTTATTCTGACAGACATGGTTCTTACAAAACGCCATTCGTTTTTAAATAAATAGTTTTTCGTGAATATCTTAAAAACTAGTAGACCGATTTCGATTTTTTATTTCGAAATATTTGTCTCGATGTCCTCTAGCTAGATCAATCAAAATATATATCCCCGTTATCCCATAGAAATTTTTCGAGATATTCCTGTTCTTCTGTTTTTCCATTAAAATCCTTGTACGCAACTTGTGCAAAATCAATCAATCAATCGATATCAACTTGTTTTTTAATTGTACATTATGTCATTAGGTGATAAAAGTATTATCTGACGAATGTGGCTTTATAATCCGAGCCGGAGGCGCGAATTAAAATCAATCAATCAATCAATTAATCAATTAAAATCACAGGAGTCAAATCATACTTTTATCGCGGTGTGATATACAATATTTTATGTCATCGGGCCTGAAAACCGTCATCTAATTGAGCGAAACGAGATTAGAATCGCGATTTCTCGGGCCTTATGTCAAATTTATTTATTCACTACATAAGGTGCTTTCCAAAGGCAGCGCCCTATGGCCCTGGGGAAATACGTAAATTTGCATCTTATTGTCAGTGCGATTAACATACGCAGTGACAAGAGTATTAGATTCATTACATAATTATAACATTACATTATAAATGAGGGCAGTGGGCCCATTAATGCTCAAGGGCGAACAGTAACGCCGTTATATGAGATCATTTACGATGTTATCAAAATTTTTATCATTAGGTTTGTCTTCTAGCTATACCTTCCTTTCTTTTCCTAATTACTTTATACTTTCTCCCCCTTTTCCATCAGTTTACGTTAGAGATTATGAAACATTTCAAAATTCTCAAAGCGTGAACAGTGAATCTTTTCCTTCTCATTAAACATTCATTAATCTCGGTGATGAGTCATTTCAGGAGAAATGTCAAAAAAATTTCCGGGGAAATTTCCCTCAGCTACACAAAACGTAGATAATTACTTGTTATGTTTCACTAATTTAGTCGAAAATATTCAAAAATCGCTTAAATTTTCAAAATTGATGTTTTGCTTTGTCCAAATGAAAACCTTTTTAATTAGAAATCCCGGAAAAATAGACCACGGAAAAAATAGATCAAGGGAATTTTCCAAGTTGGGTGGATTATCAGATTTTGGGTGTGTTGGCTATTTTGGCGGCCTACCGATAAAATTTCCTGTAGCACGTAGCAAAAATTCCGGTGCTGACACGTGATTTTTTCTGGACCCGTCAAAATAAATCCACTTTACCTTCCCAGCGCAGTAATTTATCCGCACTACTTTTCACTTTTCATCGTCTGGGGATTGGCATTGGCCCTTCCCCAAACTCGTAAAAATGAAAATCACTGCAGATTCTCAAACCAAGTAAAATTGAATGAAATCATCTAATAATTTTTTCGCCTCAGTTCTAAAAAGTTTTAATGCAAAAACCACTTGAATTGATTTGAGAACTCGTTTCCTGAATACAAATCAATTGCCCTCATCTTGCGGACAAGTATAAAATTTCTCGGCGTAAAATTTTTTTTCTTAGTGTGAGATATTGTGCGCTTGGTAATTGTGTAGACATGAATTTCTTGATGCAAGTAAAGACGTACGTCACAAAAAACTCTTGTCTCCTCAGGGTACTCTCCCAAGGCTCAAAGAACACTTTTCCACGAGCGCCGAGCCCTATTGTTCATCTCAATGTGTTCAAAATGCATTTTACACCCAAGTAAAGAAAAATACTATTTCTGGAATTTCTTCCCCGCGTACGAGACTGAAAATTGAATGATACAATGTAAATCTTCCCGTCCCAATCGCAGCCTTGGTGAATGTCAACCGCAATGCTCCACTTGGCTTCATTTATCGGTCATCCTCACTCACGAACTCGAGTTTAATCTAATCGTTATCTATTGTCGAGCGGATTAAAAAAAATATATCTCCATTATTTCGCCCTTTGTTCTCTCGCGTTAGAGACTAGACTCCTCAGTCTCAGCTCTAGGGCACTTAAAAACATCCCCTTCATCGCTCCTTGAGTCTTTACGCCCTGATATTACCCCATTGTCGACCCATGTGCGAAGACCAGTCAACGTCCACGCCGAGGAACGTTATTTTCATCGAAACTACCCAGTTGCTAAGGCAAGAAATGGAAATAAACGTATAAACCATGAGACCCCCAGAATACACTCCCCGAGGCACATTATGCCGCACCGGTTGGGCTCTTTGTTCATTGTTGAGATTCGCCTCGTATTGTGCCTCACAGTTTTAGTAGTTCCATGCGGCCTAGATTCATTCCCATACAGCGGTGTTTTATTTCCTTTCTTCCAGTGATTTTTTTACTTTTTTAGGTGAAGTTTTAATATTACTGGCCCCATGACCTAGCTCTCATTATTCCACCGCAAATTGTTTAAAGAAGGTTTTAATTTGTCTGGGAAGGAGACTTTAGTCTTTTTAAGAGGGATGAGATAATGGGGCTGCAAATGCCACAAGTCGTCTTTTTTATTTATTTTTCAGGGAGAATTCGAGGGTGGCATGGGGTAAATTGTCCTGCAGAGTAATAATTAATTGTGTGGAATTAAAGATTTTTGTACTGTGGGTTGAATGAGATAATAACTATGAGTTCAATTAAACTTTAAGGATATCCAAGATGAGATTTTTAATCAGAAAATTCGGCGATTGAACTTCGTGAAGAACATTTGACGAAATTAATGCATTATAATTGTCGTGAGGGATTTTTTTTAGTTTTAATATTACTGACCCTATGGCCCAGCTCTTCTTATTCCACCGCAAATTGTTTGCAGAAAGTTTTAACTTGACTGGGAAAGAGACTAGTATTTTTAAGAGAGATGAGATACTGGGGCTGCAAATACCACAAGTCGCCTTTTTTTATTTTTCAGGGAGAATTCAAGGGAGGCATGAGGTAAATTGTCCAGTGGGGAAATGATTAATTCAGTGAAATGAATTTTTTTCGTATTATAGGCTGAATGGGATAATAACTTTATGATAATAACTTTTGATTCAACTTTGAGGATTTTCAAGATGAGATTTTTAATCAGAAAATTCATCGAGTTGCATTTGAAAAAATTAATGCATTGTAGTGTTCTTCAAATTGCATTTTCCAAAAATTACTTTTGTTTAACATTTCCTTCTTACGAACAAACAATAAAAACCGATTTCTAATAAAAATTTCAATATGACGAATTTATTGTGATTTCAAAAACACGATTTTCAGAGTGAATATTCCATTCTTTATAAATGAATTATGAGAAAGGTCGTAATCTTCTAAAATTATATTATTTTATTTATTTTATTTTCAACGGAATTCGTTGCAAGTCCGAGAACTTGCAACTGGCTATCGCCCGAGGGCCTTCAGCCAGCTAAAATTATATTTTATCAATTATTTCAAGAATTTTCCTGAAACAGAAGCTGTTCTATTCTTTTTAAGTCCCTTAAATATTTACTAACAGCTTAAAACACCTCAATCGTCTCACAACAGATCCAACAAAGCAGAAAAAATAGAAAAACTACTTCAACTTTCCTGTTTACCGCCGACTCATGGCTAATATTTTCGTCCATCTGCTCTTCATCCCATCGTTTCTCCATACTATTCGTGTCTACGTCCCACTCCTGTTATAGATACAATAAAAAGAGCCCCCACGACTTGACGATCTGATTAAAATACATCAGACTACGCAGATGAATTCTCAAATGATATTTCGTTCCCCAAAATTTGACTGAAAATACTGGCCTACTCCCCTCCAAGTGACTCCCGTTTTCTGTTCTGGATGAATAAAAATGTTTACACAGTAGAGGCTTCGTATAAGATACCTCTCTATAAGGTACCTCGCGCTCCGAGCGCTCGAGGCCTATCCCCACTCTCGGCACTTTTATCGCCTCTCGAATGTTTATGTTCCGTGGGCTTCTTATAAGATACCTATGGCCCCGGTCATTTTTCAACGGGAAGAGAGTAGTTATAAGGATCAAACGGTGTTAAGGGTCAAACGGAAGGGACAAACGAAGTGATCATTAGGGTCTAATGACCTTAAGGGAGGGTCACACCACTTTTTTCAAGTAATGGAAATATACATCCATTTTGTTTTCACTTTTCCCATCGAAAAATCGTAAAGTTTCGTCTGTGATTATTCTCGAGTCTACCAACAATCCCCCAACATCAGCTGCCATTCTATCACGCGGGGTTATGTTTAGAGAGAAAAGGGAACACGTGCGATACAAATTCAAGACATTAAACAAATGTAAATTGATTAGTTATCGATATTCATTCAGTAAAAATGAAAATTTCATTAAATTCGGGCGCAACGAGCGAGGTATCTTATTTCAAACCCGCTGAACCCTATTTTTCTCCTCTCTACGGGGGCGCGTGGTGGGGGCATAGGGGTTCCTGGAATTCCACTCTCCTACTGTCTCTAAGGTATCTTATACGAAGCCTCTACTGTATTACAGTACTCGTTAAATTATTTACAATTTACCTCGAGATAAATCTCCGAGCGTGGATTGAATGTGTTGTTGACAGAGTGGAGAGATACGTTGAGATGTGGTAAACTGTGAAATATCTTAGCCAGTGGTGGTACTGTGTACTGTTCCGGAAGTTGTTGACCAATCGCCATAGTGATGAACCCTTGCACTTCTCTGACTCCAGTTTTAAAGCCCTCTCTCGTGCTTGTCAAGACATGCTCCAAGTTCTGAAATGATAAACATTCATCAGACAATTCGAGACTGACAGATTAAAAAGAGGGTGGAGGGAGAGGGGCTGAAAGGAAGGGGAAGCGTAGAGTGCAGAGTTGTGTAGTATGTTGATACGTGTGCCGTATGTTTCAACAGTTGAAAAAAAAAGAGTCTGAAACTGGGAAAGTTCGTGCTTTTTAACGACCACAAACGTAACTCTGGTTCTTTCAACTTTTCTTTCAGTTACAAAACCTCTGGCTGTGTGTGTGATACGAGGGTTCGTTTGCTTCCGTTATGATTGTTTGAGAGTTCTTCCGAGAAATGCATTCGTGGGACGTAACCGCAGCTGAGTACTGTACCAAATGCAGCGCCACTGCTGGATACAGACAGAGGGGGAATAAGAAAAATCAAAATCTCGGTCTAATAGCGACGAATATAGCGCGGGGAAGGAAAATATTTTCTGAATTCGCTGGGGATATCTTGTCCAATGGAAATCATTGGGCTTCAACAAAGCTCACTCGATATTGAAGAAAAATATTCGACTGTTTTCCTTTCATTCGCTTGTTTGAAAACTGTGATGGGTTTTTAGAATGACCCGGAGTGAAGGGAAATTTCTGGAGGAGTTGAGCGTCTTGTGTAGAGAGATTTTCATGCTGACGCTGAAGTGTTCGAACAATGGATGTTTTATATGAACAATTTGACGGGATATTCAGTGCTAGACCGGGAATATCGATTGAATTGTTGATCAATTCAGGCAGGGAATGATCTGAGGGAATGAAACATTTCCAACTTCTGGTATTTTCAGATTTCCATTCAACATTCATGTCAAGCTTTTCAAGTATTCTCGCAATATTGTGCATAAAATTAGGAAGAAGTTTACTATTTTTTGAACAATTCGATATAAATATTCAGTTTTGCGTGAGGAATATCGATCTATTTTTTCAGTGGAAACCTAAGCCTTGGACCCGGTACGATAATCTGTCGAAAACCCAGTTATTGATTAGAAATCAAAATAGTTATCTATTGCAATTGTATTTGAATTCTATTCGAAATTCTCACGAACTTGAATTTTTTCAAGCCATTAGGCCTGATAATACGCGATTTTTTTAGGTCATTAGGCCCGATAAACTCATGTGATTGAGTCACATTCATCGACAATCTTTTATCGCCCCATGACAAATCGGGTTAAAAACAATCAATTTTCCACCATAAAACTCATTTATTCGAAATCGTAATAAATTTATTGACATTGCGAATTTTACCAGAAACCGATTTGAAGTCTAAAAAAATAAGATTTCCTAAAGTTTAAACAATGTCAATCATTAATTTATAAACAAAGAATGTCTACAAAAAATCATAATTCTGCGCAAAATGTAATTTGAATGACACTGAATATTCATTTCTTAAACTTTTTCTCACGCAATTCAATTGACAAATTTGATGATTAAAAATGAGTGAATTTATAGTATGGTCTATACCAAACTGTAAAAAATACTTGGATATCCTTAAATTCTTTCATCCAAGCTCGATTCTCCCATCAGCAAATCCACATATAAATTTTTAACAGTATTTAACTCGATAGCAGGATGAGGAATAATTGTCAACAATCGGATGAAACACAATTTTCATTAAATCATCAACGATAGGAGGTAAATGACCAGTGGGGTCCATTCACTGTGAGCAATACGTGCCCCTCGTGTCAGTCTTTATATTTACGATCTGTAATCCCAGCTACGCTCTTCGTACACATCCGAACACGTACGAAGCTTAAGAGTGTTTAGTAGCCATTGTGACCGTATTATAATAAATACCCTGAATAAATCAACGAAAATCCCGGTGTCTCGCCCACAGAAGTGTCCCAATACCCATTTCTTCAAAACTACTGAAACTTTTTAAACCGAAACCCGGAGTGCCTGGAAAATGGAGGGATAATACGGTTGGTAGATAAATTGAGAGGTCTACTTTCACTTATTCTGACGGGTGTTCAACTGCAAGACTGCATCTAACACACGTCTCGACGCGTGAGAAAGAATATGAGGGGGATTATTGATGCAAGCCACTCAAGATCATGTGCCGAAGGCCGTTCCCAAGTATGCGGATGATGGTAACATTATAATGATAATAATAATGCACACGTGGAAGATTCCGATGGAGATTTTCTGGTGCGTGCGGTGCATTGAAAAAATTATTACTCATGCGATCGAATAAATAGCGAATGAGGAGATGAATGATGCAATTTTATTAAGAATTCCTTCATTTTTGAGACTGGATGGATGAAAATTTTAATGTTTACTGTTGGAAAAATATTGAAATTTTGATCAGCATTGAAATGAGAATTCCTCAATCTATTTGGATTTTTAATGAAACCATGAATATTATCTGGATTTCTACTAATTTTCTGCTAATGCTTGAACTGAAATTTACAGTTCTCACTAATTTTTTCGTGAAATTCTAAATTTTCAATGACGAAATTCCTCAAAATTTCAGTGGAACTAAAATGCGACAGATTTTCAAAAAGTGTATCGGAAATTTCAGCCAAAATTTCTTTAGGAGTGTTGGAGGATTTATGAAGTAAACATTTGAGTTGAAAAGAATAATTTTATATTATCCAAGGAAATGATTATTGAAGCCCTTATTTTTTTCTGTCAATGGAGAATCAAATTTGAACTTTAAACGTTTAAATAATAAAATAATTGCAAAATGCTCGGTAAGTTAGGACCAAATGCGGGTGAAATGGAAGGTCTAATGTTCGAATACAAATGAAGAGCAAATTGAGTGAAGAATATATTACTGCGTGAAGATGAATAATGCGATTTTATTAACAATGACTTCATTTTTCGGAATTAAATGAATAAAAATTCTAATGTTGGAGGATTTATTAGTCATCGGTCGAGGCCAAGACAGGGAATAATTCTTCGCTTCATCTCACGAGACTTAATTTCCATTACCCAAGAACATTTGTTATTCAAGTCTTAAAAGTTAAGAATGCAATTCTGCATTTTTTCCACATAAAGTAGATTTTATAATTTTTCCTTCAGATTTTTACAATGTTTCGTAACGGCTCAAGAAGAAAAATCAACTTCAGATCTACCAAGTTTGAAAAATAAACTCATCGAAAAAAGTTTACGCATATTGAGAAGAATTTCGAGGGAAATAGAATGACTGGTGGGAAGAAGACAATGCAATTTCATTAGCAATGACTTCATTTTTTGAGGACACGTGAATACAAATTTCAAAGTCAGAGGATTTATTATTCATCCGTCGAGGGGAAGACAGGGGATAATTCGATTCATCCCAGGAGGATTAATTTCCATTACCCAAGAACATTTGTTATTCAGGTCTTAAAAGTTAAAAATTCAATTCTGCCTCTCCCTCGAAAAGTGGATTTCATACTTTTTTCCTCAGATTCTGACAATGTTTCGTCACGATTGAACAAGAAGAATCAATTTCAGAAGTGTACAAATATTTAAAAAAATTTCAAGAAAAAAAAGGCTAAAGTACTCGTGCCGACGAGAAAAAGGAAAAACAATGCATATTTATTGTGAAGCTGAAACTAGCAGAATATTCATCAGCGGAAAATTCAATTTAGTGGGTATTTAAGTGTAGGAGAATCAAATAATCATCTGTACAAACGTTTTTTAATAGCGAAAGAGTTTGTACATAACTTGAAAACATTTGTACACCCCTAGATTCGCCAAAGACAAATCTTCTGCTGTCGAATCTTTCGCTAGTTTCAGCTTCATATTTTTATTACAAATTACTTCATTTTTTCGGATGTTGGCGGATTTATTGCCATCCTTTGAGACGAAAACAGGGGACAATTGAATTCATCCCACGAGAATTATTTTCCATTATCCCAGAACATGATTGGTTGTTCAGGTCTTTAGCTGTCGACCCATTGCGCTATCAAATGAGAGAGCGTTTCATAGAAGTTTGCAAGGGTGCGCCCTTTCACCGGAAGTTCAAACAAATCAAGAGTACAATGAATCCTCATCCTCCCATTTTGTCCTCGCTCAAGAGCACACCTTGCGCCAACGTGACCATTCTAATTAATTCGAAAAATTTTCCGCAAAGTTAAAATGAGAGACTGCGTGATTAATAATATGGAAAAGTTATTTTTTTTGTCATAACGGATAGGAAAAGCCCGTGCTGGCACAAGGCGTGGCATAAAGGAGAACTAAACCCCAGGGAGTTAACCACGAGCATGGAGTGGAAGCTAGCCGAAAATTCGTTTGCCGAAAATAGGAAAGCAGTGGTTCTCACGCTCGACCGAGTTTCCACCCTTGGAAGATGATTTAGCAGATTATTAAAGGCCGACAAAACTTGACAAAACTAATATCTATTAGCGTATTGAGTGCAAGACAANCCACGAGCCCCAGGAATCGATCGGTGGAAGTTGTTGCTTCGTCTCACTTCCTCTTCAGGGTTTTCCAACTGTCTGTCTCACTGTGGCATACACGATGACTCCCGATGTGACGGGGAGTCACACTGTGGGGCACACAGGATACATACCGAATGACATACTCAATATTCAAGATCGAACGATGAGAAAAGTTCCGATTAGAGGTCACGGGAGATTCTTGGGGAACAATTGAATTCAATTGACAATGAGGCGGGGAAATTGGATCGGGCCGGCGAATTCGTCGAGAAAATTCATCAACTTATTGGATAAGTTCGAGTTTTCGTTGCTGTTTTTTGTCTGACACAAATTTTAAGTTCAAAGTTTTCGTTCATTTCCGTTTCAACCATGCATGAAATGAATAAATAAATTCAGGAGAAACTATTAGATTTTTTTATTGAGATAAATGATGGATTTGGAAATTTTCAACTGTAAAATTCGTCAATCAAATTGCGCGAGGAATTCGGCTAAACATTCGTGTCTAATCAGTGTTACTTTTGGCAAAAAAATCCTCTTTTAAGGATGTTTATTCACTGTTTTGAAAATCGAGTTTTTTTGCTGGAGAAAAATTAGTTCCAGTAGCTTTGACAAAATCAAATGAACAAATTTATTCTCATG